AAACAATTCATCATCCTATCACTGAAATGTATCGTTTTCGTAGCAGTTGATTAAACATTATTTTGTATGCACCTTACATCACCCGTTGAACTCTATTCTGAATGGTCAGTTGATCAGAAATTCGTTACACTTTGGATATATGCACTTCATAGCTTCATAACTCTTCCAAGGGTTTGCATTTTACTTTTACTTACATATATCTTGCCCAGCAAATCGATCAGAGCAATGTCTCAATGAATAATCCTAATAGTACTAATAGAAGTGATCATGATAACTCTTTGATCAGTTCATTAGGATATTTTAGGGTCTAATGTCTATCATGCAAGATGAAAGTTTGGACACGGCTCGTAAAGCGATTCGAATGCGGCAGTTGATCACCACATGTCAAGATTCATTCACCTCTTTGGAACGGTGCAATAAACCGGTGATAGCCTCTATTCATGGTCATTGCATCGGAGCGGGTATCAATCTGATTGCGTGTGCTGACATACGTTACGCTTCTGAGGATTCTGTGTTTTCGATTCGAGTAAATAGTTGATTTTAGTTATTTTATTCTCCAATTTTCGGCGTTTCAATGCCTTGCTTCATTACATTTAGTCTTGTGTCTTTCGTGCACAAGAATCCTACGTGAAAGAAATTTTTGATAGGTTTATGCAGATTGAAGGTAGAAGATATTTGTAGTAAAATAGTTGAATGAGTTTCTTAGCGAAATGTGTGGAATTGATGAAAATCTCCCAGAAAGAGAAGGCATTCAGTTAGAGTTGTGTAATATTTTGAGGAAGTAGATATCGGAATTGCTGCGGATGTGGGCATATTGAATCGAATCAATAAACTGGTCGGGAATGATAGTCTTACCAGGGAATTGGCCTACACTGCGCGTGATATGTGTTGCTCTGAAGCACTCGAATTTGGTATTTATTTTATATCATCACAAGCAAATGCATAATGCATTTCATATAGCACGAGACTGTTCATGATCATATCTAGTATTCTTTGAATATATATGAGCTGAAATCCAGTTATCCAATTATCCAGTTGAAATCCAGTTATCCTTTTTAATCAGATAATTAGATAAAAGCCAAATCATAGTTGCGCTTAGCCTCGCAACAATTTCTAGTTCAAAGTAACTAATTCTCATTTTCAGGTCTAATCTCTCGTCAGTTCAGTTCTTCAGCGGATTGTTTAGAGGCATCGATAAGGTTGGCAGGTGAAATTGCCAGTAAAAGTCCGATTGCAGTGCAAGGCACGAAGGTGACGTTGAATTATGCCCGTGATCATACGGTGGATGATTCG